TTGCACAGTCCTTAAGGTTCAGAGTTGAAACAGTTAACTTTCCTGGTCATGTGCCACAGTAGAGAAATATGCGCCGCAATGTTGCTCGGAGGGGGGAGGGGCAAGACAGCAGGACGAATTTTGGAGAATACGAAAATTGGTCCGTACTCGCGTCCCTCCCTTCTCAAAGAGCTTAGTCCTCAAAGTGGGCTTTTCGTGATCCTGACGTGATGTTGCGTGCTGGCCCTCCTCTCCTCTATCCCGATGCAAATTGTGCCCAATACGTATTAAGAAAATCCTCTACTCGTGCGAGGATGGTGTATACACTGCGTTTCATAAATATAGGTCCACCCTAATTTTTTATTCCAAAGTTGCTGTGCATTTTTGGAAAATGCCGCTATTACCAATAGTTTCCCCATAACGAAAAACCTTGATACTTGATTTCTGGAGAAATCTCGATTCAGAATTATTAAAATATCTTCCTTAGAACGTATTTTCACCGTTTCGCAAATATGACTACACATCACTTGTCGAGAGATTTTACTATAACGAAAAAACGTCACGAATTTTCAATAATGGGATGACCCCCCAATAATCATAAGGAACACAATAATACGTTTTGAAATGCTGGTAGCCAAATTAGCTATTACAGTAGGATCGAAATTCGTCTGGGCGCCGATGATCGACCTTTTCAGCTTTTCGGCTGTTCCATTTTGCTTTACTTTGCTGTGGAACTTTATAACAATTAAGGCCCAATGATTCTCTATTGGAATCTAATTCAGATAACATGGTGGCCACCAGATAACTGCCACATTTTTTCCTGCAATTCCATCTGGCGCGGAGGGACCGGCATGGACAGCCGCGTTATCGTGTGTGAAAATCAAGGATAGAGGGGATCCTTGTTGAAAAAATGGTAAGACTCGCTTCGAAAGAACTTCACGATACCCTGTGGAATCTTTGTGAACGGAAACAAAAGCGAGCTCTAGCTACTCAGTCGTTCAAAGGTGCCTCAAACCATAAGGGATTCACCGCCGAAATTACGTTACATTGAAACCATCTGCGATTTTCACGCGATCATCCTGTACCCTCTTTTTCTGCCATATCCACCTAGAATAAACTTTTCCACGTCGATCTCAGACCACCTGTAGAACGAAACAAGGAGGTAGAGTCCAAGATCGCGAAGGGTCTTAACAGCCACACCATCGCTCATTAAGTTGAGCCCTTTTCCACGGAGAAATGGAGACTTGCGATCTTGTAGCGCTCAAATAATCTTGGAACGCTCTTCATCAATCCGTTGAAGATGTTATTGCTCTGCTGGCTTACTCACCACACGGTGGTTTTGCTCACGGAAGGCCGCATTTCAGTACGGACTCCTTGTATAATTCGAGAGAAGACACCCAATTCCTCCTGAATTTTGTTTTTTTTTTTTTTTTTTTTTTTTTTTGTTTTTTTTTTTTTTTTTTCTTAAATTTTGAAGGAAACGCAGTCTTTATTTACCTAAGCGACTCTTCTCTCCGCACTGACCAGGATTTTGCACATAGTCGCTTATGCAGTATGAGCCGGCCGACATGGGAGGAAATTCTGCTCCTCAGCTATCCCACTTCAGTAAGTGCTCTAGCTTGAGCTTGTTACTGGGAAGAGAGGCGAATAACACGAGGTATGGTAAACTCGATGTCGACTGAGCCCACATATTTCCCCGCTTCCCTGATTCCCTTCACGGATCGTGAGAAATGGAAACTTTTTATGAGTGGCCCGATATTCATGAAACGGTGAAAATTCGTTCTAAAAAGTTAATTGGGTTACTTGAGGGGGGAATTTGTCAGAAAAACACTATGAAGGTTTTCCGTGATGAGGAATCTAACGGTGATAGCAGCATTTCCAAAAAATGCACAGCAACTTTGGGGTAGCAAAAATTTAGGGTGGACCTATAATTATGAAACGCAGTGTATACGTAATGCAACATTTCACTCCCCTCACTATTGATTGCTGATTGTTAGATTAGTAAGTGTCAGCAACCTCTTTATTGTGAGCGGAGTGTCAGCGGCAGTAGCTCGTCCTTTCGTCGCTCTTGCCGCAGCTGTGACGTCACCAGCACGCGCTCGCGTCCGCTTCGCCGGTGGGCTTTTTTCTCCCCTCCCCCTCCTGTCGCAGGCTATGCGATGGCCGCGCGTCTGCGCCCTCTTGTGCGGCCTGCTCTCTCGTGTATTCCCTTTACTCGGCCCTTCGTGTCTCTCGGCGCTTCCAACCTCACAAAAAATTATTAAAGGCAAGCTCTGGGATTTCTGGTCGAAAATAGGCCACTCCGAAAAAAATCTAAAAGTACGCAAGCAGGAACATGTCGGCATGACTTGACATTAAGAAACGCTGAGGCCCTGGAATTAGCTCCGCCTAACACCATTGTTCCACCCACAAATCTATGCTGTTCCGCTTCGCAGTTACTGGAGACTGACCTTACACTACACATCTCCACTGTAGCTTACAGCGTAGCAACAAGTAAGTTTGGTCCCAGACCTTGCCCTTAACTGATGTCTTATAACTTAGATGGTTTCTTTTGTTCTCCTCTTCTTCGCTATTCTCCCTTCATCCACGGAGCGGAATCAGCTCAAAATTTCATCCCGGCATGTATCTTCAACCCAATACTGAAATCGAGGTTCGATGTCAACAGAATTTCAAAACGCGATGAGATTTATTAACAATTTGCAAATCACTTCTGAATGGTCGACACACAGCTGCTGCTGCTCTTCTTACGTCATCTTGCTCATGCTTTGCGAGAGCGACGGGGCGGGCATGGGCAGTACTCCTTGTCATGTCCAGGCATGCCGGGAAGAGCACGCTGCAACATTACAGCTCAAAGAAGGAGGATTCGAATCAGCACAATAGATTGATGAATCTTACCATGCCTGGAGGGCCTTGCGGACCCTTTGGTCCCGTTTTGCCACGATGACCTCTTGGTCCCGGGGGTCCCACTTCACCTTTTGCTCCCGGTTCACCAACTTCACCGTCCTTACCGGGAAAACCTGGTGGACCCTTCTCACCTCGTGGACCAGGACGGCCAGGCGCACCTCGGCAACCTGGTGCACCAGGAAAACCGTCTTTTCCAGGAAACCCTGGCACTCCGCTGAAGCCTTTTTCGCCAGGAGGACCAGGTGGACCTGGCTTCCCAAGTTCTCCCTGTGGTCCCTGGCATCCTGGTTCACCGTCACGGCCAGGAGGTCCTGGAGGTCCTCGGCCACCTGGTGGTCCTGGTGGTCCACGTGGACATACTGTACATCCGCCAGGGATTTCATGAGTGACCGCTATTGCGACTCCCTGAAATGCTTATCCTCTTCAAAAATTCGTTGTGTTGAAAATCGCAGAAACACATATCTACCTTGACACCGGGACGTCCATCGCTCCCATTCTCGCCGTCGAATCCTGGCTTTCCAGGCGGTCCTGGAGGCCCCGGAGGTCCTGGAGGACATCCTTCCGATCTTGGAGCACAGTTACACTCATCCAGTGAATTACTGCCTCTCTTGTGACGTCCGATGAGGGTTGCGAAATTTGCTGGCGTTTTGCTTTCCCTTGGAGTTTGCGGGTGTAAGGCGATGATATTGTTCCATGTGCTGTCGGCCACGACCTACAACGCGAGAGGTTTTTTCGAGCACATGTAAAAGACCGGAATGGCTCACCCTGAACTCATCCATTTTGTTAAGGACTTCGTCTCGTAGGTCGTCGATATCGTTTACTATGAGCGCGATCGAGATCAGACATGCAACAGTGGCGACCAGTGCCGACGTAGAAGCAAGCCCTACGACGAACATGCCGTTGAGGGAAGTAGTGCTGCGGTTACCGAGCAATTCTCTTTTACTGGGTCTCGGTTTTGCTTTTATAGAGACTGCACAGGGATTTGGCCTTGGCTGGTACCAGAATACAATTTGTAAAGGTCATTTCTCTAACCGGAGGCCTTGCAAAAACCATTGACGTGGTCGATACCTGCAAGATTGTGGCGAATCAGCAACGGAAGCTGTTGCACATTCTAACACTTGGTTTCATAAATGAAATGACATGAGGAAAAGGTGAAGAAAGATGACGATGAACTCATGTGAGCAGTCATGGATCACGCGGTGCTCTTTAAAGGGATAGTTCATCAGGAGTGGTCTAACTCAAGCAGGATATGACGCTGCCTTTTCCTCCGAAGGTGATGTGCTAGAGTGGAACAGTCCGTGAATGAGGGTGCGCGTGGTATTTTTAACACATTCGGGGAGGTAATTAGGTTTGAGGTTGAAGCTCAGATCTTCTAAGCCTTTCACGCTTATCGGTAGTTTCTACAAAATTCTTCTAGGAGAGTTAAAACACTGGTAAATGACACCGAAAATACCCCCGAAATTGTGTGTACGTTCGTCGTTTCGTCGGTGTGTAGTTCAGTAACGCCCAGAAGTCTTCGTGGAATCATTTTCGGGAATAGCTCTTTTTCTGCAGGGTCAAATTAATGCATTTATAATTTGTAAGGAAAATCCTGGTTCATGGAAGCAGTATACTCGCGATGATGGCAAAAAAGTGAAAAATGAAAAATCATTTCCTTAGAAATTCTCGAGGGTGACCAAATTCCGTAGTAAATTTCAAATTATTGTGAAATGATTGCAACAAAACAATCGTCCGCTTGAGAAAAAACATCAGGCAGACTTGATACTTCGTTCGTTAACTTCTGGAGTAGCTCAAACCATTGAAGGGTACAAGAATGGATCAGTTAAAGGATTCACTATCTATTGAGAAAAGTTTCTCAATTTTCTTCAGATTTGACAAATCTCATCCATATTTTTGGCTCCTTTTCTGCCAAAGGCTTCCAAATCCTATCTTCCAACGTATCGATGACGCAAAAGACATGAAATATTCTTTACGTCAAAGGAATGCCATGCTGTCGAAACCACTCCTTCGTAGCAATGGTTTCTGTATCGTTTTGTATCGCTACAGAAATCTTACTCAAATATCAATATAGAAATGCCTTGCTTGACTCAAGTTTCTCTGAATCATCTTTTTGGGGATTCATTCTTCATCTCGAAATTCCTTAGCTGATTAATTCCCGGGTGAGTCAAGTGATATTTTGGCTCGAAGCTCGAAATTGCCTTGAATATTGGAAAAATGTTTTCCTTGTTAGAATTCTGTCGCTATAAAAGTCTGTCGCTACTGTTCATAGGCACTGGTGAAATAAAGCTTCCAAGCATCGTCTCCGGCCAACTTCAAAACAGTGGCGACCACGGCAGCTAAAACGACAACGGACCACTTCGAGTGACCCCGACCCCAATCCGCCATCTTCACTGCGGCTACCGCCCAAACCCTCCGATACCCTCATCACCCCTGTATCTACAAGGACCAAATTCCCACTGCGCTTCTGCCCATCCACCCAACACCCTCCTCATACCAGTCGCCCAACTCCCATCCCTCCCCCCATCATCCCAATCACCAGTCAACACCGCCACAAGCCATCTAGCCACTATCAATACATCAACTCGGACTTCTGCGACTCCATATCACACGCAATAACTGCGATGTCGGACAGTGCCAAAATCCGTCGACAGATTGGATTCCTCAAGAAGCAGATTCAGAGATACTGCTCATCAATCGCCCAAACACTGACAGACTACAGCGTCGACGCCAAGAATTCCGAATTCACGCAACTAGGACAATGATCAGTTGGAATCCCTACGATTTGAACTTCAAAGCACCAAATCCAATTTTCTCAGAGCATACAACCGCATCACGTTTCTACATGACGAATGGGCAATACTACAAGAGTCCGACGCCAACGAAGCTCAACTATTCCAAGACTACGTCACCAAATATGGAGATTACCGCATATCGGCATCAGAAGCAGTCGCTCAATTAGAAAACCTCGACCTCCTTCTCGACGATCTGGAAGCTGAATTCCATAAACGTAACATCAGTATCTCTTCTGGCTCTTCAGACAACACAGATGATCAACTCAATCCTAAAGCCAGCAATTACGACAATCCACTCGTCGATAGACGGAATCCATCCAATGTGACTCAACAGGCCATCATCCCCCTTGCAATACGTCACTCATCAATTTTGTCGACGCATCAATACTGAGCAAAATGGAACTACCTACATTCATGACGAATGGGCACGACGGGAATATACTCGAATTCCCTGAATTTTCGTCTCGCTTCGCAACTCTGGTCGGAAACAAAGAAGAACTCGACAACACGACCAAATTTTCGCTGTTGAAGTCATGCTTACGAGGAGCGGCTCTGAATTCCATACAAGGACTATCGCTGACGTCCGAGAATTACAAGATCGCTATGGACATCCTGAAGACACATTATGACGACAAGGTAACAATCAAGCACATACTTTATTCAAGATTGGCCGATCTTCCCACCTGCGATCCCGAAGGACGCAATCTTCACAATCTCTACAATCGAATGTTTGCGCTCGTACGACAGTTCACAGATGGGAACGATGACTCGAACGAAACTGGATTGGGAGCGATCCTCTTCAACAAACTTCCTCTACGCGTAAGAAGCCAAATTTACGATAGAACGTCGAACTCTCACAATCTATCACCGAGTGAGTTGCTTAATCTCCTGACAGGATATTGTTCGGAAGGACACAACATTATCCGAAATGTCATCCCATATACGCTCAGTGGCCGAACAGGATCAGTACCATACATTTCATGCCTCTTCAAAAACTCCAAGGAGGAGAACTGCAACGTTTGGATACCGCAGGTACCAGAAAGCAGTCCAAAGCCGTGCCAATTCTGTGGGTCGGTCAGACTTCTCAGTCAACTGCAACATGTTTGCCACACCTCAGCTTTGAATCAGATACGTGAGAGAACATCGTTTTTGTTTCAACTGCTTATCTAATCGACACTCAACGAAAAACTGTCCATCAAAACGCGTCTGCAAATTCTGCTCAAAGCGCCACCAATTCATCTCTGTGCTTCAATCAAGACAGAAAGCAACCAGGCTCTCTAATAATCTATTATTGATGGATATGCACCCACAAATGAAGAACACGACGAATTTGTGTTGAAATTGGTGTTCCTTTTGTGAGCACTTCTTCTGCTCTATTCGCTCATTTGTTTTGTTTTATGTTTGTTGGGAATTAGTTCGAATTTTAGGTGTTTAGGAATAAGGTGCTTTATCCACGAAAGTGACCGCATTTCTTTGAAAAAAATTATCCCTGAGAAGATGAGAAAATCAACCAGGCGTACATTCCTAACTTAGTCATGACTTGTTCTTTGAAATTCTACTAGTTTTTCAATGTCTCGGCTATAAAAAAAT